AAAAAATATGTTTTTTTTATGAATTATGAATTTAATTATTTTATAATTTTATAAAACGTTTAATAAGTCCTTTTAAATAAATTTAAATAATTTTAAAAAGTTTATTTAAATAATTTTAAAAAAATTAATAATTATTTCAATAATAAATAATACATTTAATAATAAATTATTAATAATTTTAATAATAAATTATTAATAATTTTAATAATAAATTATTAATAATTTTAATAATAAATTATTAATAATTTTAATAATAATTTTAATAATAAATTAATAATAATTTTAATAATAAAGTATTAATAATTTTAATAATAAATTAATAATTTTAATAATAAATTAATAATTTTAATAATAATTCTTATTAATAATAATTCTTATTAATTAATTTCAATTATCAATTATTTTAATTAATAATTATTTTAAATATTTTTATGAATAATAATTTTAATTAATTTTAATAATAAATTTATTTAATTGTTTTTACTTTATAAAATACAAAATAAATGTATAAAATATCATTTAATATTTAATAAACCATTCAAAAATAAGTTTATTTAATTTTAAAAATAATTAAATGTGAAATGAAAAAAAAAAAAATTTACTGATGAATCGAGCCCAGAGGTCGAGCATAGTATGCAAACGATATATCAAACAAGCTACGAAATCGTTAATGGAAATTGAAACTTTATTGTATAAAAGCTAAGCACGAAATTCGAAGGCTTTTTTCTCCGAATTGACTGGCCATTCGGCAGAATTACATTGAGGGTTGAACACCCTAAGGGCTATTGCATCAAGTCTTGACCCCAAATGAATTTCCTTTGTCGTGTGCCTTCTCCTTGTAAGAAAATAATTTTATATTAAAATGAATGAATTTTATGGACATTTTCTAATTTAAAGCATACATAAAACACATGCGTCCATAACTCATAAAATTATAAATTGACTCATGAAATCTGTTAATTTTATTTGAAACTTTTATTTGAGAAACTTTGGCAATTTTTTTGTTCTAGGTGAGTCAGGCCCTTGGTAAAACCTGTTCAGGATTTATGAACACCATAAAATGTGTTAAAAGAGAGAATAACTTGAAATGTCCAAAAATACTTTAAAAATAGGGAGAAAAAACATTGAATCACAAAAGAAAAAGTTCGTTACGTAGA